AACTGCGTATAGGAATTTTTTTTGAATTTCAAAGTTCTTAATATTTGTACAGAGTAAATATATAGCCTATGCGGCCAGAAAGTAACCGATAGCGTATTTACTTTTTGGTCCATGAGGTACATACGAGTGAATAAGTGTGGTGTGGCTTCGCTACCGTCAAGGGTCCGGTATCAGGTACGGTCTCAGATCTTGCTGGAGCCCCTCCAGCCCTGAATTTGAGCGGAGACGACTAACTGATCGTATATTCGGCGCTGTTCGGCTTGGTGGGGGGAGGGGGTGGGGAGCGGCCACTTTCGCCTAGTCCTTTTGCACCTATTTCAAAATGCTCTCATATTGGCGTGAGACCTCGTAAAGGCGTTTTAAAGCTGCCAAGTATTGCGAAGTGGAGCCATTTTACTTACAGGGCTTGACAAGCTTTTCACGAGGCGGCGTGTACTAGCTCCGCCGAATAGTATTTGATGCCCCTACCAAACCGATAATGTGCCTTGCACTTTCCTTATGAGCCACAGCCCAAGGCTGTATTTGCTGCGTTCAGTCGGCCCCCGCATCTGCTGAGGACGTCAAAATAGCATGTCAAATTGCTATTCCAATTTCCACTGCGTTCTGTTGATGGAAGGGACCGAATGCGCATTTATATCTTGGATGCACCAGCGACTTAGAACTATGTTAACTTCCCATAAATTTCAGTGGCTCCCCGCAGCTGTTACTATTTACGCATCGCAATTACCGATTTAATCAATTCTTTCTCTGAGATAGCGGTTCGATCGTCTAAGAAGCGAGCGGTCGTGCTGCGGTTAGCTGAAAACTCCACTTGTTCAACAGTACTGGTTATTGTTCGAACACCCTCTGTCGCATATTATCGACTACATTGTGACGGCGACACCTACATGGGACCGGGATAAACCGGTATCAATATACATGAAATAAGGGTGAAGTTTCTTGGACGGAGAGGCGGCATTTTTGTGCTCTGCCTTTATTGTCTTTTACTAGCCTAGGCTGCGTTCTATACTTTGCGACAGCGTAGCTAGCGCTTCCAGTGGCGTCAGCGGCAGTGCCGCGTGAAGGATGGATAGGACGCTAGCCGTTTTTGCTGGTGACGCTGGGACGCTAGATCGATATCCATCCTCTCCCCGGCACTGCCGCTGGCGTACGCTGGAAGCGCTACGCTACGCTGCCGCAAAGTATAAACGCAGCCCACCGCCGTGTGGTGAGAAATGTGGATTTTTATGTAGTGTAAGCGAAGGCTGGGCTACTGCATAGCTTCACGTCAACCGTTCCCCACAAGTGACATCAGCATAAGCTGCGTTCATACTTAGCGGAGGAGGACCACCGCAAAAATGTTTGGGCTAAAGGATAGATGGATATCGATCAGTGCCGGCCGCTAGCGTTTTGAGAGAGGGTATGAGAAGAGGAGGATTCAGACACTGTGATTGGCCGTCGCCAAAGTAACAAGGAGTTTGGCATCGCAAAACAGCACGTCGCTATTTTTTGTGGCATATAATCACACCGTATTGGGCCCTATTATTCGCCTGCTCTTTCTTGAAACACCACTAATCGGTACCCTTCGATACCGATCTTTCCTTCGGATCGCAATCTTCCAATGCATTGGATCCGCCGATTCTCTCAAAGCGGCGATTCCACGATTCTCCCGCGATCACCGAGCCACCAACGGCGCCAAAATAAAGGCCATCACAGCGACTTGACGACCAAGTTATTTCGAATAGCATGTTGCCGGGTATAAAGCTAATGATTATGTTGTAATAAGAGCTCTTCGTGCCAATGTGTTACACTAGAGAGAGCATGACCTGTCCACTTGAAGCTCGATTGATGATAATGACTTCGATAGATGAGAAGATCACGAAAGGTTGCTGTTCGCACCAGCTTCTCGTCTCGCGATATCGAAGTTGATTGAAGGACAACAGCTGTGCGTTCAATTTAGTGACCAAAAGCTGGCCCCCATAATCCAGAGCCTCAGCCGGCCAGCCACCCAGGCTATCCAGCAACGGACAAGTGTCACGAACAATTGTGCCCTGCCGTTCGGATCTCATCAATCGATTGACGACTTGGCCATTCATCTCAGGTTCTAGGCATTTCCTGTCATTCCCACCGTTTCTTACTTCTTTTACTTTATTTATGATCTTTTACTTGTCACTGCACTGTTTTCTAGTTCCCGATAACGACGAAGAAGAGTGTTAACCTATGGGTAGAGTGCTATGTTTCCAGTTTTCACGCCACCTGGCGCTAACTACATTGAACTTCTGCTCATTATCTGCTCATAGAAAGATTCATCGCACACCGGGGCTTCGGGATCCAACCTCATCTCCCAGGCACAGCAGCCGGGTATCGTGTTCAGCTACTTGGTGACTCTTTATCAGTGCTGGCTTCACAAACACGATGTAATCTATAGCACGTCAAAGGTTGGGATCCTTAGCGATGGGGTCGTACTTAATCTTCTTTTCTCGCTTTTCCCTGTTTCAACCACACTATAGACCTCCTTCCCACGTCCTGCCGCCAGCCCAGGTCACATCGTTGTTGGGGATTCCCCAACAGGGGCTAGGTGGGTCGCATTTGGCACTGGGAGGAGGAAGTCGGGTTTGAGCTGCGAAAAAACTTTTTGGTAGTTGATTTCTCTTGTTTCAGGGGCGTTTCAAAGGGGGGGGGGTCGTATTTCAATTCTAGCCTTCTGAGAGAGGCTGCTGACTTTTCGTTGTTTTTCCTGGATTCCCTCTTTCTGTGTAGTACTTACTCCCTGCTCGATAGCAAAATCTTTAAAAGTAGGAAAATTGTCGGGGAATTCCAGAAGTGGTAAGAAACTGGGAAAGTCGAAGAAATGGTAGAGAGGCTGGTCGTATTTTCCGACAGGTCGGTGAGGAGGGAACTAGGAGGGGGGGGGGAGCCGTACCAAGACCTCAAGAAAGGAGAGCGTCGCAGGGACCCGACCAAAATCTTCAACCACTGATGTGCCCTGCGCTAGCCAGTCAACAATAGTTTTTTTTTGGAAAAGCTGGGAAAGTCTTTGGAATTAGGGACGTTGGGGTATTAAAAAGGTGGTAGGTAAAATAAGTGAAAGTTGGTCGTACCAGAGGAGGAAGCTTCGAGGAGGGGGGTCGTATTTTGCAGAAATTTAACCTAACGTCAAGACGTGCCTTTGTGCCTCTGCTTCGTAGTTGTGTATTGTTTTTTAGAAGTTTACAGTAGGCGAGGCTAGAATTTTAGAGTATTGGTTGTGTTTGGTGAATATTAGAGAAACGTTAATGTTATGTTACTACACACCGTCCTATTCAACTTCTGATGTTTCTATGTTCTGCAGCCGTGAATTATAATTTTTCATTCCTATTTGAGTGGGGCGATTCGAAAGAGTAGGTCCCCCTTGGGCGAGAACCGAACAGGTTTGTTTTCTCGCATCTGATGATCGTATCAAGGTGAGCCATAGCCATAACCTATCGATTTACGTTTGGTTGTTTTACTGCGTTCCAGGTGACAATTGTCATTGGGAATTGTTTGAGACGTTTTGAGCGGGCACGGTTCCATGTGTTTTTGTGCATTTCAGGCTCTGTCGGACGAAGGCGAAGACGCCACGCTGGGCCCAATAATGTACTGATTTGCTGTCTAATGTTCTTGCTTTTTGTGCATGTGTTGTGTTCTACTATCCTCCCCCCCCTACTATGAAGTTCAGTCTGCGGCCGTTGGAGTGGTATCAGCAAGGTTGGCGGACCTACTAAGTTGGTATCCGGAGTCCTAAATTTGCTGGGTACCTGCATTGGGGGCGCCACTGCTTCTCCCGCTGTTCCCTCTCAACGTCGCTCAGACTTTTTTAGTTATAAGCCTTTACTGGTTTTAGCTTATCGGAGTTTATTTTTGTGGTTTTTCTGTTGATAGCTTGAGCTTCTGAAATAAGTCTGCCGATAATAAATCGTAAATCGTAAATCGTAAATCTTGTCGAGGCTCGAAGACAACTAGATCGACTATCATCATGCCAAGATTGCAAGAAAGTCGAACATGGACACCCCATATGTTCCACACAATGATGTTGTACTCTGTGCGCATGGCTACCCTCCTCTAAGCAGTCTGGCCGTGCTACTGTAGTACCTTCCATCGCCGTTGCGGGTAATATGTGCGTCGAGTGTTTATAAAAGCGCCCAATAATTCAGATGGTGCGCAGGACAGCTCCGCGTCGAGTACTACATGTCGCTCGTCCCTTGTGCGCAAGTAGTACAGCCCCAGCTAGAGAATGTCCCACTCTCGCGACTCCATCGACCGAGGAGCGAGCTACAGCTGCTAAAAGTTAGTTCTAACGCCCGCCCAGTTGGACCGCCCACTTGCTAGATGCCCTCTGACGGAGATCTGCTCGGCTGTTCTTGTTATGGACGGCGGGCTGGTTATCCGGAACTGGCATGCCTTTTTCTGACCGCGCTCGTGCTGCATGGTTTTGGCTCTGCCTCTATTTACAGTTTTATTTGAATGTAGGATTACACCACCGTCAACTGCCAGCCATTTCATGCAGAGGTAAAGCGCGTAAAAATCACGAGCGACCCGATTTTCGTGGTGCAAAAGCTCGACGCACCACTCTACACTGAAAGATGCACGCTACTGTAACCCTTAACTTCAGAAGCCTCAGTTTTGAAGTTTCTTTCCCCTTTCAAAAGTTTCTCTTCGGTGTTTTTGTTGTTTTTCGCATTCTTTTCATTGAATTGGATGATACCCACTACTGGAAGATGTGATAAAGGAATTTGTGAGCCAGAGGTTGCACAGAGACTGCAGGAAGGTGTGACTGCCAGGGAGCGATTTTGTTTATGGTGTTCTTGGGGACTCTTTTTGCCTTTTTTCTTCTTTCATAATTAAAAAGCAACTATCCATAAAAAAACGCCCTTTCCTTTAAATTTTTTCCCCCCCGCGGGGAGCCTGTCTTTAACGGTTATTAACAACGACTTCTGAGGCCTTACATTGCAATAAAACCCTTATTGTCTAACCGACAAGAAATATCCTTCGAAAATTGCGAAATGCAGTCATCTCTAAACGGGTAAGATGCTCTCATTTGGGTCAGGAAGTCCGTGTTGTTACGCTGCCGCCTTGTATGCGGTTCGCATCAGTGTCCAGTTGGAACGGCATGCAATTTCAGCAGTATGTCGAGTCAATGATCTGAGAAGCGTTAGCCCAGACTGGTGACACCATGTATTTCCGTGGAAACTTGCTCAACCCTTTATTGTTGTGTTTTTTTTTAACTCTTCACGATGGTTTGCTCATATTTCTTTAGCATTAACCACTGACGACAGCGCTACGGAATGTAGGAGTGGTTACCGTTAGCTGTGATACTTGACGCGCATTTGAAGAAAGAAATTATTACCGTGGGCATAATTTGGCTAAGTGTGGCTTACTGATCGGTACTCACCTAAAGTTGTACCAGATCCATTATTTGTGAAAAACCTGGGCAACTTCTCTGGCTAAGGTGGCTATTATGAGCAATTCGTCTAGCTAGATTTACAGGAGTTTAGATGCCTGGCCCAAAATGATTTTCTTAGCGTTGAGCTGCGGAAGACGAGCTAGTGAAAGTAGCAAAAAGATTCTCCCAAGCCGAACGCTGGACCATCGTTTGTCTGCGTAATGAACAGGTCTTGCTGTGTAGATAGTTGTTCCTGTGATAGTTTACATTATTTACCTTTTTCCCGTCTTTTTCTTCTTATGCGATCCTTTCTTGCTCTGATCTCCTGCAGTGGCTATATGTTGTTCCAGAGGGCGCTCGAGGGGGAGGGCGCTGTTGAACTCATGAATGAATAAATAAAGGCAGTTAGCACGATAATTTCCTCAGACGAGTAGGATTAATACGCCTAACAGGACGGAATTCCAGGCCGCCTAGCGTCTTCTCCAAGGAAGTTACCCTTGCGAGGCCCTATCAAGCTGCAACATACCGACTCAGATGCCACACGAGCCCGCCCGGCCACAAGCAACGACTGTAACTGTGATGATCGCCATTTTTTCCCGACGGCCAGGGTTGTTGCACAGATAATGCCGATTCCTGGGGCGAACTCGTCCGCGAACTGCTTTTTTGATTCAGTTTAAAGAACGAAGGCTTTTCTTGGCAGCGTTGGTTGACCGTTTCGATTTTCGGTTTTTTCGCCGTTATACACTGTTTTAGCACGCCTGCTAACATATCATTTAGGCAGTTACTAAATTGGTTCGTGGCTGCTATTCTTCAAGGAAACTCTACCAGTAGGATTCAGCGAGAAAGATACTGCATGTCACCGCTAGAGCAATGCTTATCGAACCTCGACTGTTTATTCCTTTTTTCTATGCAGTTTGCCACCATTCCGCTTGAAGACTGCTGCCTTAAAGACACATAGTACGCTCATACACATTGAGGGTGTATGAGACTATCAGCCCCCAGATGTCGATGTGTCGTGGTCCCCCCGCCCAAACATGCCCGGGAATGGAGATACAGGGCCGTGAAACACGCTAATTCTTCCATGCTCCGCCCACTGCCTTTTTTACGGCGCAGATTCGCCGTTATATACATGCCGTTGGCAGGCGCGCCTGTCGCGTGGCGGCTTGGCACTTTCGCCAAGGTCCTTTTAATTCGCTGCTCACAATACAAGGAAAACGCAATTTTTCCTGATGCGGATAACATTGGGAGGTTGCAGACAGAATAAGATCCAGAAGATGATTGACAAAGGCGGCAGAACCGAAGAGCCAACTCGGCTGCATCTGCAGTATCCATCAAGGGCCGCGCATTCCCACAAAACATGAAAATAAAAACAGCCCAAGCGTCCCACTCGTTTGTTCTAAGTATTTCTATGGCTTTGGCGCCGGATCGTAGAAATTTACAGGCCAGTTTATCTAATTTGCCTTTCCTTGATTTTTTCATTTTTGTTTTGTTTACATTTACATCGTGGTGCTTCATTTCTAGCCTGTGTCATCTTCATCTCCTTGTACTACATGGATTTTGAAGCCATAGAACAACACCTCAAATTTTATTCGCATCAGGAAATTGCGTTTTGCTTGTATCAACTAACGAGTATGCCGTTTTATTTTCATGTTTCGTGGAAATACGTGGCCTCCGAGGGATGTTGCAGAAGTGGCACAGTCGCTTTTAGGTTCTGACCCTGCATTCATTCATCTTCTGCTCTTACTTTGTGAGCACCTCCAATGTTATCGCATCAGAAAATTTGCGTTTTACTCGTATTTGAGAGCGCAATTAAAGGACTTGGCAAAGTGCCAAGGAGCCGCACGCGACAGGCGCGCTTGCAACGGATGTTATGAACGGCGGGAATCTGCGCCGTAAAAAGGCAGTGGGCGGAGCATGGAAGAATTAGCGTGTTTCACGGCCCTGTATCTCCATTCCTGGGCATGTTTGGGCGGGGGGACCACGACACATCGACATCTGGGGGGCTGATAGTCTCATACACCCTCAATGTGTATGAGCGTACTATGTGTCTTTAAGGAAGTGTCCCGCGATTCGACAGTACGGTTCGCAATCTTGAGCCCAAAGGCTTCCGTGAATCAAGTTACACCCTTCAGGCTAAACATATCTTTTTCAGAGCTTACACTGTAGGGTCCGCGTGTACAAACTAATGTTTCTTCATGATTAAGCGGCAAGCGTCCGTAGTTCAGCTGAATCTAGCCAGTTTTTGGCTGTCCAGTTTTGGAAGGGGGCATTTTTGCACTTTCGCTAGTTTCTTCTGCTAGTCCATGCTAAGTAGCCACGGCAGTAACCAATGTGGCTGTACATCTTCGCTGAGTACCAGTTTGTGCCCCTACCGAGCAAAACTGGCCCATTTTTTCGAGAATAAGTTGAAGGGAATCTTAGCTCAGTAACGGAAACGTGGTATGAGTGGCATTTATCTTGTCCTTCTTGAATGCACTGATGTTATCGTGGAAATAGATTTGTTTTTGCAAGATTGACAGGCACACATTGGTGGAGGGCCAGTTGGTTGTGAGCAGTCGTTCGTGACATCCTGTCTGCGATAACAACATTCACAGGGCAACGAGAGTACGATTGCGAAGGTTTAAAGACAATTCCTGCGATCAGGTGGGTCGTGAATGGCTCCGTGTATTTGGTAGCTAGGTTCACACTCGCAGAGACTGTACCCTTGTCTTCGCACGAACGTGCGAAATGAATCAGGCAGAGACGCAGGACCTTTTCTTACTTTGACATTTTCAAGCTACAATGCAACGACTTGCACCGCTGATTACCGCGCATGTTGCCTAAGGCGTCATAGGACGGTCTGTGAGCTCGTCGTAGAGAATTGAACATTTCAACTCTTTTGCAAGGCCACTAGTCGTTCTGCCTCTCCTGGATACTTTTTTTGGGGAGTGCGAGCAATAGCAGTACATTGGCGAGGCAAGCGCGGCCGTTTTAGCGCCACTTCAGCGATGCGATTGCGCTTGTGCAACGGTTCGTCGTGCATTGCTTACCGTATCCCTAATTTCATACACAGATTTCTGGCAGCTGTTTTCTGTTACGAGTTTTGTTCCAGTAATTTTTTTTAGTTTTTTCCTCTAGTATTGGGGGCATTCAGTACTGAGAGGTGTAAGCAAGCGATTTACGAGCCACGGGTTGCACAGACGCGTACCTATTCACAATGGCTGCTATAAACTTCTACCATTTCATTCGCTGTTATGTTGTCCCCTTCGAATTCACTGTCATTCGCTGTTGTGGTGTATTCTCAGAAAGAACTAAAAATTAGAATCTATTTACAGTATTCAGGATGACCAGTACACGGCTCCTGAATCCGGACGATGCGGACGATTCAGATTCATCGGATGGTTCTGGTTGTCCGGTGAAAAGTGTTGCCAAGACGTGCCGCTACTGTCTCACCGAGCGCGAGAAGTCTATTCAGAGAGCCACGGTGAGTTTTGCCATGCAGTCGTACATATAGGGGTGGGGGAAGGGTGCATGTTGTTTGGCGCAATTACTTTGCCACCGACGTCAAAATATC